TCCTGGTCACCGTCCCCACAGCGTCCTCACGGTCACCGTCCCCGCATTGTCCTGGTCACCGTCCCCACAGCGTCCCCACGGTCGCCGTCCCCGCAGCGTCCCCACGGTCGCCGTCCCCGCAGCGTCCCCACGGTCGCCGTCCCCGCAGCGTCCTCAGTCACTGCTGGGCTCTAACGCATTGTTGCGGCCACATGTCTGTCCATCTGGCTGAGGGTCTTCTACTTCGCTGATCCTCTGCTTTTCCAAGCACGGTGTCCTCCTCCAGGGCCTGGTCTCTCCCGGACACATCCACAGAATGTGAGGCCAGGTGCTGTCACCTAACTGTCTAAGGAGCTGCGTAGCTGCACTTGTTCTGAGACAGATTTGTAAGTCCTTCTGGCCGTCCATGGCCGTTCAGGAACTGTCACCAGTACGAGAAAATGCCATGCAGATCCGGGTCAATAAAGGGGACTATTTATAAGCACCTCGGAAGCACAGTGGACCCTGCGGGGATGGCCACCAGCTGACCTCTCAGTGTGAACCCGTGCACGATACAGTCAGACTGTTGCCAGGACATAGATTGCCAGAACTTTCCGCATAGTTCATCTTAACCCAGAAGCTTTACTGAAACCTGTTGGGAGGCTCAGCAAGAGGTCCAAGGCCCAAGCCTTGACTGACGGGCTGGGACCTGAACTCGGGCTTTCCGCACGAAGGGAGAGTGTCTTACCAGATCAGCTGTGCCCTGGGCCAGCCTTAGACTCCAGCAAACTGAGAGTCACAACACTGACATAATCACGTGGCAGGCTGGCACTGCTCCTAGCCAGTCACGCTGGGAACTCATCTCATGATGTTTTGGGTTTTTGCCCCCAGAAATGGTACCATTTCCTTCAGTTTACAATCAAAGATATGGCTAGTTTTAATACAGTGTTGAATACTTTACTATCGAGAGAAATTAATAACCAGGCTTGGATGGTTTTCGGTAGCTTTTAACATTATAGAGACAGTTATTCTGAAGAGACAATACTATTCGTAAACTTGCAAAAGTTACAGGAAAAAGGACTCCGGCACAGCACATTTACCGGATCCCTTGACTTCACACTGAGCGGGAAGCGGCTGCAGCTCATTATCTGATGCATTCCACCCTGCATGTGCACCAGCGGGCCCTCCTGGCGAGAAGCTGACGCTGCTGCTACGGAGCTGGGATTGACTCATGGCTGACTCTGCAGCGGGTTTTTTTACATCATGCAGGAGGAGACTGCCTAGCCTTCTCCCACAGAGCAGCTGGCGGATTTGAACTGCACACCTTTGGGGTTGCAGTGCAATTTCTTACCACTAGGCCACCAGCACTCCCAGAATGAAAAAGATAAAAGACTCAAGGAGATGATTGGTCCAAAGAACTAATGGGCCACGCCAACCACAGCCTCTAAACTCTGACACTGGAAGAACTGGACGCCAGCGACTACTGCTGACTGTTAGAACCAGCCCACAGTGGAAGGTTATGGGTACACAGAAGAGAAACAGAGAAGGAAATTCAGAGTATAAAAAAGCAAGGCTCATTATGTGACAGAGACTGTGGCCTTGTGACACCCTTCAAGCCCGGACCTTAACCCATGCTGGGGTCGTCCTGCAGCCAAACCGACAGGCCTGTGTCACCAACAGCGACACCTGGGAGCAACACAAGCCTTAGAACCACCAACAACGGAGACCACAGGGCAGCATTTACCCAGACAAAGCTCGAAGGCAGGGAGGGGCAGGAGAGAAGGGAGCAGAAGAAGGGCCAGAAACGTGATGCTGCCAGAATCTCTGCTGACGTCACCAAACAAAATGCAAATAAAGAACTGAGTGCAAATGAAAGGGCTCCACAAACATCCATCCAGACCTCAACAAACAAAACACTCGGCACAGCTGCTCCCGAGGCCGCTGCACCTTCTGGGGGCTTCCGTCATGTAAATGTTTCTATGAGCTGTAGCATGGTACACACACAGACACAGATACAGACACAGACACGGACACACAGACACACACACAGACAGACACACACACATACAGACACAGACACACACAGAGGAAAGCCACCATCACGCAGCACAGGGCCCTCAGGTTCTGAAGGCCGTGAGGACACTGTTGGGTGACTCATCTGTCCTGAGAGGCCAGCACCAGTGGGGAGAAGGGGCATGGAGGGTTGGGGCTGTGCTTCTCAGGCTGCAGTCTTGTTTGAAGCCTGGAGCAGAGAGAGGGGCCATGGGAGGGGGGATGGAAGTGAGGAGGGGTGTTGTTAAGGTCTGTGAGAGGCCAGAGGCTGGAAGAAGGGAGCCCAGAAGGGCACCGGGTGCTCAGGGGACGAGGAGGAGTGGTGAGACTCGAAGAGGGGCCCGCCCGGACAGTGGACACAAGTTGTGAGGCCAGGTGCATTTACGGTCGGAGATGCAGGAGACCAATTCATACCGACTGAGAGTGGCCCCGTGGGACCGAGCAGAACACCCAGGGATTTCCGAGGCTGTAAATCATTACAGTTGGATGGGAACATATTTCTCCTGAGGAGTGAATGGTGGGTTTGAACTGCCAACACTTTGGTTACAGCCCTGTGCTTAACCCACGGTGCCATCACCTCCCTGTGCCAACAGCGTCTGCAGTGCGGCTCAGGTCTGTGAGCCCTGGGCTGTTGTTAGACCCACCCCAACGCACAGGGTTGGCTTAGACATCAGGGCCCAGGGACAACGCTCCTGCCCCAGGACGGAACCCGAGGCGCCGAGGCTGCAGCCACGTTACCTTCGTAGCCGGAGTGCACCTTCTCGGCCAGCAAGACACAGCAGAGCTGGCTCTCGGGGCCCTGGGGCTCGCGCACCTTGAGGAGGTACGGCGTCATGCGGAACGGGTGGTAGTGGACCTCGTCCTCGTGGGTCTTCCTGACACTGCAGAGACAGACGAGCACTGAGGGGACCCCACGGGGCACTGCTGCGGCTCCGTGAACAGCTCCCATAATCCACACCTCCTCCCCGGGGCCTGATGCCGCACGGTGACACCAGACCTTCACTGTCACCTCACTGCTCAGTACACCTGGGGCTCGATGGCCCCAGACCTTATACCTCGGGGCCTGATGCAGCACGGTGACACCAAACCTCATCACTTCACCACTCTGCACACCTGGGCTCGATGCCCCCAGACTCACCCCTCCACCCCGGGGACTGATGAGGCACGGTGACACCAGACCTCACTGTCACCTCACTGCTCACCTCGGCTCGATGCCCCCAGACTCCACACCTCCACCCCGGGGTCTGCCCATCAGCACATCAGTGACGCCAAGCCTCACTCTCACTTCACTGCTCAGCACTGGCCTTGCTGTCCAGCCCTAAGGCCCCCACCGCCACGCTGATCCTGTACACCATCCCTATGGGGCCAGGCCCCTCCACTCTGGGGCGCACCAGAGCTGCCTGAGCAGCCGTGCTCCCCACCTGTCCGCATCCCACCTTCCTCAGGCTCCATCCCCGAGGCGGGGGTGGGCAGTCGGGCCCAGCTCCATGGTGAGAGTCCAGCCCGACCTCTGAGCCGGCACACCGCAAGAGCAGTCATGTACAAGGGTCAAGTATGTGCTGTGTAGCAATCAAGGTAAAAGTTCACAGCAACCATGGTCCTGTGCCCTCCTGACAATTTCCACTGTGCCCGTGTCCCCTGCTGCAGCCACGGACTCAGCCCAGCCCCAGGGAGTCTGCCTCTCTGTCACTGACACCCGGCTCTTGCAAACATGATGCCCTTTTTCCTGGATAAAGACACAAGTTTGTGTCTGACCAGGTCAAATCCCCTACAACCAGATGTGGGCGCTGTGCAGCCCTCAGGGGCCTAGGTCTCACGGCGGGTGCTGTCCTGTTTGGGGCAGTCTGCTTACCAGAGAGAATGGGCATGTCTGTGCCACCTGCTGGCCTGGGGGGCACATCTGTGACACTTTCCAATGTGGAGGGGTCATCGGTGTCATCTTCTACTTTGAGGGGCACATGCGTGCTATCATCCAGTTTGGGGGTGTCTGGCCACCACTTGAACTCACCTGACTCGACAGAAGAAAGACTTCTCCTCCATGCAGTCCCGAGTGAAGGAATCTGGAAGGGAAGGGCCCATGTCATTCATGCTGCTAAACCTGTAACAGACTGTACCTTTATTTCCACAGGACCCAGGAGTGGCCCCCACAGGGCCCAGGGCGCGCAGGGACCCAGGAAGCACAGAGGAAACCCTCCATAGGAAATGTCCTTGTCCATCTCTGACTACAGTGGATTCCACTGTTACACCACGCTCATGTCACACAGCCCGGAGCGGCCACCTGTGGCAGGGTACGATGGGGCACCCTGTGAGGGCCCCACACCAAGGAGTCAGTCGTCTGCCTCCCCAGGGCACGCTGGCTCACATTCTGAGATCCGCACATCAAACTCAAACCCAAAGCCAACAGCCAAGTCGGTCCTGACACAAACAACTGTCTAGGACAGGGCTGAACTCTAAGGTTTCTGAGGCTAGAGGACGACATCGTGCTGGACAAGGTGGAAGGTCGGAGACAGAGAGGAAGACCCTCAACAGGACAGATTAACACCGGGCCTGTCACAGTGGGCTCGAGGTTATCAGAGACGGTGCGCACGGTGCCGGACAGGGCAGGGGTCAGATCTGTCATTCACAGGGTCACCGCGAGTCAAGGCTCAAGGCTGCTGTTTACAGGCTGCTTAATGGCATCTAACAGCAATTGTGGTGGTGCACTGGTTAAGCACTCGGCTGCTATCTGAACAGTCAGATGCTCCGTGGGGGGAAGATCCAGCAGTCTGCTCCCCACTAGCTGCTCCAGTGGGGAAGATCCAGAGGTCAGTTCCCAGAGGGAGACCCTCCAGGATGGCTAGTCAGTCACGCCCGCAGCTGTCAAGCAGTCTCCTTATCGGCTCTCCTCAGAGGGGAGGGGTGAGATGAACAGCTCACCTGAGGGCCTGGCCCTTTCTCGCTCTCAGTCCCATCCTCACCCTCACCCCGAGAAGCCCCCTGTCCCTCACCAGGGACCCTGCCCTTCCTTGTCCCCAGTGCCACCTCCACGTCACCTCACATAGTCCCATATCCCTCACCAGGGGCGCTGTTGGTTCCTGTCCTCAGCCTCAGCCCCGTTTCCCACAGAGCTGTGGCCTCACTTGTCTCTCACCAGAGGCCCTGCCCTTCACTGTCCACAGTGTCAACCCCACCTCAGAGAACCCCATGTTCCTCACGAGGGGCCCTGTCCTCCTCTGTCCCCCAGCATCCCTACCCCGCACAGCATCGCTGGTCCTTCACCAGGGCCCATCCTTCCCTGCTCCCTGCAGCCTCACCTGTCCCACTGCAGGTGCCCCACAGTGGGAGCTTATAGGGGGTGGTGGCACTGTGGAACACGCTGACATCGTGAGGCGCCAAGAACTCCACGAACTTGGCGCCGGTGAAGGCGGCTCTCTTGCAGTGAAAGATGGATGCCACCTGATTGGAGATGTATAGGACTCTCCCTGTCACCAATGACACGGCCACAGCAAACATGTCCTGGAAGGGGAGACAGGGGCCATGAGGTGAGAGCAGGGTGGACTGAGAGTGCCTGACAGGGGACATGCGGGCAGGGCCAGGGCAAGCCTCGGTCCCCTGTCCTTGGCCTCTACCAATAACTCTACCGGCTGCCAGCCTGTTGAGACCATGACCCGTGTGGCACAGCGGACCTGAGATCCCCCTGGACATTTAGCCAACGGTCACCAGGTCTTTCTTCCTAGGTGCCCAGGGTGGACAATGAGCCCATGGCTAGCAGCTGGGCGTGCTCACTCTGAGAAACTCTCAGTAACAAAGTGGGTTCTCATCGCTGCCCCTCCACAAAGGCCTGGACGAGGGAGCTGACAATCACCAATTCCCTCCACGGGCTGGGGAGTGGCAGGAATGGACACCCAGGCCTGGTCACTGAGCCTGCTCTGGCCCCTGCAGAGTGGTGTCTGTGGTGGCCAGCGTGAGCAGGGAGGTCCTGGAAGAGGCCGTTTCTGAACTGTGGCGGAAACTTCTGGAACATCCTTCCAGAAAGTCAGATTTCCTGCTCATAGGGACTAGCTGACACCTGAAAATGCCTGCACCCCCTGCTTGGGAGCCCCTACCTCTGTGGTCAGCCACATGCCCACCCGAGATGAAGCTGTGCCCTACGGCAGGGCGGTGGGGCCGTACCGCGTTCTTCACCATGTACTCGGAGGTCATGCTCTCAACCTCGTCCAGTGTGTAGGAAGGCACGGCCAGGCCGGACAGGTGGCTGTCGCTGGACACCAGCAGCTGGAAATACTCTTCGTTAGCTGCAGAGAAACCACGCTGCATTGGCACAAGGGATGACGGGAGGCCGAGAGCCGCAGGGAGGGGACGCTCTCTCCCAGGATGACAGAGCGGGAGCAAATCATCCTCAGATGTGGAGAAGAACACACACACACACACACACACACACACACACACACACACACACACAGAAACAGACAGACACACATACACACAGAGAAACGAGCACATGCTTCCAGAAAAGCCAGAAGACCTGACGACAGGCTCTCCAAAATGAAAATGATTTAACACATGACCGCCAAGTGCTACCCACCCTCCACTTCCTCCAGTGGGGTTCACAACTGGAATGCAGCAAGGACCCTAGATGGGGACCCCTGCAGCAGACCTTGCCTGACCTCCCTCAGTGACACCCCCCCAGAATTACCCGCTTTAAGGCTGTCAGCCCAGAGGCCCACGATGGGCATGACTGGCCCACATGTAATAACGGTGGCCTCATCCACCGAGACCGGGTATCATGGAATCACCTCTTTGACGAGGCTGCTGTGAGCAGCTAATCAGGTGAGGGGGGCTCCTCAGGGGTGTGGCCTGAGTCCAGCAGACCCTACAGATGGCCCTTCTGGTGACTCTCACGCAGGTCTGTCTCTCGCATCTGCCTCCTGTCTGACCTCTGGTTCTCGAGATTCGCGCTAGCGGCCTGCAGTCTGGCTGCCCACCTTGGGGGTCACTGCCCAGTGCACCCGGAGGTCAGCAGCCTGCCGTGTGGTTTGTGGACCTTGGGCTCATCAGCTCCTGCAGTTCTGAGTCAGGAGAAGCCCTCAGCCGGGCGCCTGGCTCTGGACTCGGGAGCCAACAGCATCTATAGCCTCTGAGTCATTTCCTTACGGTAAATCTGCCCACTTGAGAGCCTGGCAGCACAGGTGTAGAGTCACGTGCTGCACTGCTAACTGAAGGCTGGTGGGAATCGACCAGATGCTCTGTAGGAGAAAGATGAATATTCTCCTCCCACAAAGATTTACAGCTTCAGAAACCCGGTGGGAGGTTGCCAAGAGTGAGCTTATGGCCATTGTTGGTGTAAGTTTGTTTTTTAAATAGATATATCGATAGATGAATAGCTTTAGACAGAACTAAGGCATTGGATCTGCTTCTCCAAAAATCCCAGCCCAAGATATTGGTTGTTTAAGACAACAGGAGGAACAAGGATCTGTCTATGAAAGGATCTGGGCACCGTCTGTGAGCCTGTCAGCCTCGTGTGCTGAGGGCTTCGGGGTGAGGAAGCCTTCCTCCTGCAGACAGCAGGGCTGCACGGGGCCTGAGCCCACCAAGCCCTCGGCGCAGACAAGCCCAGCCTGTGTCATGGAACCTGACCTGGAGCTGGCCCGCATGCCCCTTCTGTAGTGTGGTGGCAGGAGCCCCGCTGACCACCCCCCGGACTGGCAGAAATGGACTGGTGGAATGGGTAGGAAGGCCACCCCGATCTGGATGGGCCTTCAGTGTTCAGTGACATTTGTGCAGCTGCCCGTGGCCGAGGTCCAGAATGCTGGTGTCTGTCCTGCAAACCCTGGTGCCTGTCCCTGCAAACGCTGGTGTCTGTCCTGCAAACGCTGGTGTCTGTCCCTGCAAACGCTGGTGTCTGTCCTGCAAATGCTGGTGTCTGTCCTGCAAATGCTGGTGTCTGTCCCTGCAAACCCTGGTGCCTGTCCCTGCAAACGCTGGTGTCTGTCCCTGCAAACGCTGGTGCCGGTCCTGCAAACACTGGTGTCTGTCCCTGCAAACCCTGGTGTCTGTCCCTGCAAACGCTGGTGTCTGTCCCTGTAAACGCTGGTGTCTGTCCTGCAAACGCTGGTGCCTGTCCCCGCAAACCCTGGTGCCTGTCCCTGCAAACTCTGGTGTTTGTCCTGCAAACCCTGGTGCCTGTCCCTGCAGCCAGAGGGAGGCGTGCATTTCTGTGGCCTGGATAGTGGCCTACCTTTCACCTGCTTCATGCTCCGCAGAGCGTACTTGAGCGTGGCCAGCGTGCTGGGCCTCCCCTTCGCCCTCTTGTCAGTCGGGAGGTGCACCTTCAGCTCCTTCAGAGTCTTGATCAGCTCTTTGTGCAAATCTGCTTTGTCAGACTGCTCGCTGCTACAGAATGAAAGGACAGAGGGGACCAGGGTTAGCGTCCAGCCTGTCCCAGACACCCAAGCATGACTGACATCTGAGCCAAAACACCCTCTGTGGTCGCCTGCAGGGCGTGGAGCGGCACCTCTGGCTTCTGCCCACTAGATGCCAGAAGCACCCTCATCAGCTGTGACGTGGGAAATGTCTCCCAAGCTCCCTGAGTGTCACAGTTAGTCTGTGATTGGATGGAACCCTCAGAGTGGTCTTGGGGAGGAACCAGGCGGGCGATTACAGCCAACCCTAACTGGCACCCAGGAGGGTCTGCCAAAGGAAGACGGGGGGAAAAAAAAGAGAAATAAAATAGCTCCAGACGATCTGGCATCCCTGGTCTTACAGCGCTCTCGCCAGGGTCTTCAGGCCCTGTCCATAAAAAGTCCATCCAACAGAGCCTTCTCTCCCAATGCTCAGAGTGGACCAGGTCTGGGCAGTCTGCTGGTCAACCGCCTGTGGTCACAGCCAACCAGCAGCCTGGACGAGCAGAGGGCATTATCTGAGGAACTCACGCTCCACCCCGATGCCTCAGCTTCAGTCTTCTAGCCTCACACTGGTATTACTTACTGCAGGAGAGCAGGCAGCTGTTTCCCGATTCACTCACCTGTGACAGAAACGCCAGCTCTCCGCCCCCCCAGCTCTCCCGGTCCCTACCCGATGCACAGCCTGGAATCCAGGGGAGAATCTCTGTCACCTGACGAGTTCTCAGCTCCAGTCTCCTGCAGATGGCTTTAAATCAGCCACCAGTCCCTCGGTCCACACTCCCCCATCACACCTACGGAAGGCCAGGTGTGCGCCCCTCCGAGAGTTCACTCCTCACACACGTGGATTCTGTGTGCAGCCCGTGAGGGGGACAAGCCGTGACTGAGCTTCCTGTCACCTCCTTGGCTGGGCTGTTGGATGTGGAAGCATTTTCCCTGCAGGGGTCCTTGGGGACAAGCTGCCTCCTGCAGCGTGTACAGCCTGCGAGGGTGACACTATGACTGAGTTTCCCGTCACCTCCTTGGCTGGGCTCTTAGATGGGGAAGTGTTTTCCCTGCGGGGGTCCCCGGAGACAAGCTGTCCCCTGCAGTGGGCCCTGTGTGGCAGGGTGGACTCCTGGCCACCACCAACTACAACTCCTGCTTGTCCTTGGCTCCCTCCTCACCCTGTCCTCAGCCTCACCTGCAGCCACTGCCGGACTGGTTGTGCTCAGACTTGGCCATCATCAGGCTGAAGGCATCTGGGCTGAAATGAAACACGCACACACAAAGAAAGAAGAGAAAAACTCAGGTGCACTGAGGCTCCATGCACCTGTCTGCAGTTAGTGGCAGCGGGTTAGGAAACAAGGCATCAGGAAATGAAAGCATTCTCCAAACGGTTCCTTCCACAGATGTCCTCAGCCTGGTTCCTGTGCACACCACCAGGGAAATCCACGTGTACAGTCTGCATCTGTGCTTCTCATAAAAGTATTTGCTATGAATAAGTCATTCACTGTGCAGAATTCTACCATTCTATCCGCCCCCGCCCCCCAAAAAGAAATGAAAGTGACCACAAGGCCAGGCTAGACCTTGTTCTTTCTCCGAGCCCACACTTGCCATAGTCATGCCTTTATTTTCACAAAGTACCTTCTTAGTAGATCATATGACCGTCTAACTCAAAATGCCCCATGCCAGTCCATCTCACCCTGCCAATACCTACTATGTTAATATTTATGCATTCCATTTCTTTCCTAACAATGTCCAATTTTCCTACATTCACGGTTCTCACATCCCATGTTCCAATCACTAGTGTCTGCTTACAACTGTTCCTCCTCCTTTGTGTTTCCATTGTTGAGGGCTCAGCGTCAGTTGCCATATTAGCTAGTCTAAGCGTGGTATATTGTATATGGAGTTTTCGAAGGCCTGCTATTTCAGGTGGCTGGCCAATCCTCCTTCCTAGTCTGCCTGAATCTGAATGCTCAGGTTTAGAACATTATCTGACAGACAAGCATTTTAAGGAAAAGAGCAGATGAAAAGACATTTCCCAATTGTAGAAATAATCAGTGTTGTCCCCGCCCTTGACACGTGTCTTGACACACCCCTTCCCCCTCCCCCGCTCCACTAGCATTCCTTTCTATTCCCACCTACTCCATTCAACACCTGTGTCCCTCTATTCAGCCCTTAATGTGATGGCTTCTCTCTCAAGCTTTCTGTGATTCTGAACGCCTGGGCTGATTTGGCAGCATCATGAGAGACAGTGAAGAGATTCAGATTGTTAACAGCTTTAGTCTGCTTGGCTCCACAATCAACACTCTTGATACCAGCAGCCAAGAAATTAAAAGGCAAACTGCACTGGGAAAGTCTACTATCAGAGACCTCTCCAAAGTACTAAAGAGCAACGATGTCACTCTGGAGACTCAGGTGCACCTGATCCAGGCCACAGTCTTTGCAATTACTTGCTATGCATCAGAAAGCTGGACAATGATTAGGGATGATAGAAGGAGAATTGATGCCTTTGAGCTGTGGTGCTGGAGAAGAGTACTGAATATACCATGGACTGCTAGGAGAACAAACAGGTTCATCCTAGAGAGGGTTAGACCAGGTTGCTCTTTGGAGGCAAGGATTCTGAAGCTTTGTCTGACATACTTTGGATGTATTGCAAGGAGGGACCAGTCCTTGGAGAAGGACATCATGCTTGGGAGGGTGGAGGGACAGTACAGGAGAGGAAGACCTTCAATGAGATGGATTGATTCAGTGACTTGGGTAATTGGGGTAGGTGGGTCAGGGACAGTGAGATTGGCACAGGATAGAGTTTAGGGCTGTTGTACATAGGGTCACAATGTGACTCGATGGCATATAACAATAACCACCACCACCTTCTTAGAGTCTTAGAAGAAACGAGGCTGGAGAAATTCCATCTCACAGACTATAGACGTGTCATCAGAAGGGACCAGTGTGTGTGGAGCAAGAAGGAAAACTGGGGGGGGGTCGGTGAAGGAGAGCTGGGCCTCAGGAGATGGACTGACCCAGTGACCGCAGCAATGGACCCGGCACTCAGAGGAGACTGGGAGATCGGGGGCAGGGACTGTCATTCCCCCTTTTGCACGGAGGCCAGCCATGAGTAAGAGTGGACTCCATCAGCCCTAAGAACAGCTATGTACCTTCTAGTACCTTCTATTCCAAATTAATGGTGGCATCATCTTGTCAGGAGCCATTCCGTCTGCTCTTACTCACACAGAAGGTCGCTGAGTCCAGGAGAAGAAACCCCGGCTGGCCCTGTGCAGCCCTCACAGCTGTGCTGATGCCTGAGCTCACAGCGCAGCCACGGCTGCGCTCCACCTCACGGCGGTCTGCTGCTCTCGTGCCGACCTGCTGCTTTACCAAAGGGACGTCCTTCTCCAGGGACGGGTGGCTCATAACCTATCTAAAGTACATGACATAGGAGCAGCAGCCAAGAAACCAAAAGACATGTTGCACTGGGAAAATCTATTGTCAAGGACCTCTCCAAATTGCTAAAGAGTAATGATGTCAGTTTAAAGACCACAGTGCACCTGAACCAAGCTACAGTATTTTCAATTGCTTCGTAAGCATCTGAGCGTATGACGATGAATAATCACGACAAAAGAAAACTTGACGCCTTTGGACTGTGACACTGAGGAAGAATGCTGAGTCTGTGTGGGCTCCAAGGAACAAGTGTGCCCTGGACGAGGTGCAAGCAGGGTGTGCGCCAAGCGCCGGGGCGCGGAACCTCCTCTCAGATACTTCAGGCATGTTGCCAGGAGGAACCAGTCCTCGGGCAAAGGGTGGAGGGTCAGTGAAGGGGAGGGAGACTTAACAAGGCGGACCGATACAGTGACTAACAGGAGGCTGGAGCCAGGTCAGAGATGGTGAGGACGGGACGGGACAGCGAAGGTCCGGGTCTGCTGACCACTGCTGTCAGGTATTGTTGAGTCCAGCACAACTCACAGCGACCCTCTGAACAACAGGTCTGAAGCCCGTCCTATCCTGCGCCATCCTTACCATCTCAGATGCACCTGAGCCCATCGCTGTGGTCACTGTGTCAACCTGCTTGCTTGGGGGTCTTCCTTTCCTCCACCATCCCCCCATGCTTCCAAGCACGAGTCCCTCTCTAAAGCCTCTCCCAGCAGCACGCCCAAAGTATGGGAAACGAAGCTTCATCATCTTTGCCTCGAAGGAACACTCTGGCTGTACGCTCGCTCTCCAAGGTCTATCCGGTCTTTTGCAGACACACCTGTGTCCTGTTGATCACAGGGACGCTGTAAGCTGCCACTGACTCAAGGGAACCTAACAACAACTGCCACACGAGAGGAGTCTCACTAGTCTCACTTCGCAGGCATGTTCTGACTGGACTTCTTTCAAGACAGATGTGTTCACCTTCAGCAGTTCAAGACATTTTCAGTGCTCTTTGCCTGGATTATAACGGAGTTATGCTTTGGTCCTCCCTATTCATTGCCAACTTTTACACAGACACAGGTAACTGAAAATACAAGGGCTGAGGCCATTTTAGTCCTTCAGGGCGACCAGGTAACAATGAAAACGGAAGCGCTGAGGCAGGCACACTTTAGTCTTTCAGACGACATCTTTGCTCTTCAGCACTTTTAAACAGATCTCTTGCAGCAAATTAATTTCTTGACTGTTCTTTCCATGAGCACTGATTGCGGATCCAAGCACAACGAAATCTTTGACAACTCCAATCCTTTCTCTATTTATCAGGATGTTTTCTGGCCTATTGGTGAGGGCTTTGACTCTCCTCGCACTACGGTACAATCCACACTATCATCTCTGATCTTCATCAGTAATTGCTTCAAGGCTTCTCTTCCAACCAGAAGAGTTACAGAATCTGCATACTGTATTTATGGCCTCTCTCCACCCCGATCCCACATTCTTCTTCAGACAGTCCATTAGCCTCTCTAATTATCTGCTCACCATACAAATTCACTAAGAAAGGTGCACGGACGCAGCCGTGATGCAAACCTTTCCCAACTTTAACCCAGGCAGTAGTTGCTGTTCTGTTCAAACGGCTGCTTCTTGGTCTGCATACACTTCCATATGAATACAATTAAGTGTCTGGAATTCCCATTCTTCCCAAAGTTATCCGTAACTTATTAGGATGTACGCCACTGAGTGCTTCTGCATCGTTCATTAGTCACAAGCAACCATTTAGTATTTTCTGCTCCGATCCAAGGTTCCTCTGACACTAGCAGCAGTGTTCCTCGTTCTCCAGCCTCTTCTGAATCCAACGTGAACTTCCGACAGTTACCTGTCAGTGCACTGATACTACTAATTTTCAATTACCTTTAGCAAAGTTTTTCTTGCATGTGCTATTACTGACATTGTTTGACGGTTCCGGCACTCTGTCTCTGTGGCACAGGCACCACTATGGCTCTTGTCCTTGAGAGAAGACCCTCAGGGATACGGATTCACACAGTGACTGTAACAAGGGGTTCGAGCATGTGGGAGCCCATGCGGGCGGGGCAGGGACGCCAGGATTCCGATCTGTTGATCACAGGGTCACTAAGATTTGTAGTGGGCTTGATGGCTCTTAACCACAACCTGAATTATCAAAAGAGCAAACAAACCTGTTCTGGAACACACAGTGAGAACACTCCTCGGAGGAGAGGATCGGTGGACTTCAATTCACCGACTCTGGAATGTTGTCAGGAGGGGCAAGTCCACGGAAAAAACCATCACACATAGGAAAATGAAGGACCAGTGAGAAAGAGGAAGACTTTAACAAGACAGCGTGACACGGCGGCTGCCAGTGGGCCCAGTCACAGCAGGTCGGCGAGGGCACGCACGACTGTGAGTCTGAGCCTGTCAAATGTGGTGTTACGTGAGGCAGAAGTAACCTGAGGGCTCCTAACAACACTCTTCCTAGACTCAGACTTCGCACAGACGTATCTGGATTACTAACGGAGATCACGTCGGCAAGCAGAAGCTCTGAACCCCACGTCCACGGCTAGAGGGCTGGCTAGGAGGCAGCCCCCGATGTGTCTGGACGGTATCCATTCTGAAGCTTCATCTTCCAGCGTCCTATCAGATAATGCCCCTCTGCGGGTCACAGGGTTTTCAGTGCCCAGTTTTTTATGGATGGATTTCCAGATCCTTCTTCCTACTGAGTCTGTTTCAGAGTGGAAGCTCTGCCGAAACTTGTCCACTATGGGTGATGCAGCAGGTATTTCAGATGTTAGTGCAGCAGCTTAGACATCAGAGCCCCACACAAGACACCACAGCAGGACACATTGACAGGCACGTGGTGGGAGGTGCTGCAGTGCTCTGACACCTGGTGCCCCCACAAGTGTCGGGACAGAGCAGGGCTCCACGATGCTGAAGGGTGGATTCTGGAGAAGCTGAATCTCAAGCCTTTCTTCTGAGGTGTCTGAGTGAACCCAAACCTCCAGCCGGTAAGCTAGCAGACAACTGTGTTAGCCATCTAACCACTCTCAAGTCCCCCCAAACCAAACCTACTGCTGAGGCGTCCAGTCTGATTCAGAGAAACAATACAGGCCAGGGCAGACCCGCCCACAGGGTTTCCTTGTCAGTCTGATGACCGAGGTGCGCTGCATTCAGGCCACACTCTTCTTAATCACCGGTTACACACGTGTGAGCTGGACAGTGAATAAGGCTGACCGAAGAAGTGACGCCTCTGAGCTGTGGTGTTGGAGAAGAGCACTGAACATCCCATGGACGGCCAGGAGAACCAACATGTGTCTTGGAAAGGGTGACCTTTCTTTGGAGGCCGGGATGTTGAAGCTTTGTCCCTCATACTGTGGGTATGTTGCTCGGGAAAGCTATTCCTTGGAGAGGGACATCATGCTTGGAAAGGCAGAGAGTCCACAACGCAGAGGAAGCCCCTCACCGAGATGGATGACACAGCAACACAACTCAAGCACATCAGCGATGAGATGGCTCAGGACGGGACTGGATAACACGGCAGAGGGTTCAGGTCTGCTGTTCACAGAGCCTCTATGCGCCATACTTGACTCGATGGCACCAAACAACCACAACAACACCCTTTATGAGAGCCGTTTGCCTTGTCTTTCTTCCACAGAGGGGTCAATAGGTTTGAAGCGCTGACTTTCTGGTGAGCAAGCAAGTCCCCAAACACTGAGCACAGAGCCTGAAGAAGGAAGGACTAAACCCCCAACACGTACAGCTATCGAGCTGCTGACTGGCGCCCCTCCTGGGTTTCTGAGCTGGGATGCCTTCCTGGAGGAGGTGCCCTTCATTCTCCCTCGGAGCAGCCCGTGGATTTGAACTGTCCACCTTTGGGTGGCAGCCCAGCATGTAAGTTAGCTGAGATAACAAGATCCTGAAAACCTGGGGACTCACGCTTTGAAGACTACAGCAGCTATCATATTGTAAAGGCTGCCCGTCCTGTGCAGCCAGTCAGGGCACGTACCTCTGGTGAGTGTCCGGGGTCCCCGAGAGCAGTCCTAGGTCTTTGGTGTCGTCGCTGTCACTGCCCTGGCCTGGGGAGCAGTTGTCACTGGCCTCATTGCCACTGCCCACCTCCATGTCTTCCTGGAGTGGGGCCTGGCTGGGCTGGGCTTCCAGAACAGCCTCAGAAGACCCGCTGGAGCTGGGAGAGGACTCGCTGGACCCATTCATGCTGGACTCCCGGGCTCTGTCGGCTGAGGAGAGAAAGGGTGGGAGTGTTAAAAAGGAGCACACGCACTTGTCGCTGGTGAGCCGTGGGGACAGTCCCGTGGAAGTGCCCACACCTTTACACCCACGCAGGCCAGTCTTTGGCATTGTAGGGCTCGCATGCTGGAAGGAGGCCTGAACCCATGTCATCCTTATTTCAGTTCTAGGGTCATCCCTGGCAAGCAGCTTCCACAGAGCTTCCGGACAAGGCCGACCAAGAAGAAAAACAGGGCTGAGGGACTGATGGGCCACGGAGAACAGCGCTCCACCATCGTCAGACAGCCCCCAAACCCACAACTCTGACTAGAACCCCAGAAGGTTCTGGATACAGTGAGAGAAAAAGGTAGAACAAAACTCAAAAGCCTAAAAATGGCCAGATGCACTACTGGTCTGATAGAGACGCCAAGCCTGGAACGATCCCCCCTCACCCTGAAGCCAAACGTGGTTCTCACCCGTGTGAAGAACAGCTGACACAGACCAAGGGGGCAGTGCTCCTCCCAGGAAACATGTCCTCCTAGAGAGGACGGGGACACAGGGAACCCAGGGGGCTGACACAGGCCAAGGGGGCAGTGCTCCTCCCAGGAAACGTCCTCCTGGAGAGGAGGGGGACACAGGGAACCCAGCGAGGCTGACACAGGCCAAGGGGGCAGGAAGGGATTTGAGCAGACAGGTGGACACAGGGAGTGGGGGGCGGACTGGGAAGAGTGCTGTTACTTTGAGGGGACTGTAATTAATGTCAGGAAACAAAATGTACATAAATTACTGACTGAAAACTTCCACTCAAACCACAACTGAAAAGAAAAAAAAAGATGACGAAGAAACGCCTGACCATCTACTTTCAAAATATTAGCCAATTAAACCCTAAGGAACAAAACAGCAGCCCGCAAGCACATCACTGTGGGGGCTGCACCAATGGGAATCACCTCCAACAAGTGGCTGGGAAAATGGGCGCTGAACTCAACAACCCCACACCCCACCTTCAGCTCCAGCTCCTCACACAGAGGGGTGGGGTACAGCCAACTCCCGCGGCATCCAGGGAGAATCCACACAGTATTTCTGGGTGACAGCAGGTCTGACTAAGCCTTGCCTTGTTCCCAAATCAATAAACAGGGGAAAACCAGCGTGAAGCTTTTGAAGTGATGCACAAAGCACACAGGACACAGAAGCCCATGGAGGGCAGCACCTCCTCTACACTCCAGACAGAACCCAGGACGCAGCCACAGGAGAGGAGCTGACGCCACAGGACAGGAGAGAGGGGGACACTGAGATGCTGTCACAAGGAGGGCACTGGGAGAAGCTTTAAAGATGCAATGAGGGAGGAGATCCGGTGTGAAAAGCAACATATATGAGCTTTGTAAGTAAACCAGCATAAAATTAAAATTTTATTTTTTAAAAAACAATACATAAACCAGCGGGAAAATGTAACAGGATGTCCATCGACACATGAATGGAGGAACGGAACGTGGTCGTGCACACAGCAGGACCAGCCCCGAGAGGACCGCGCACATTCCCTTCTCAGCAGCTCAGGAGTGTAAACTGCTGGCGGAGGGCTGCCTGGGAAAGGGGAACGAGAAGAACCACGCAAGCCCAGGAACGCTGTCCATGCCACTGACTCATACACGCAGGAATGTGCTGAGACGGTGCATGCTTTGCTGCATGTATGTTCACCAGACATTTAACCAAAATGCAAGGGAGTAAAAAAAAAGCACTAAATCTGGAGTAGAGGGGGTTGGGCACACGGCCAACTGTCCACTTGTGGGTGAGAACGCTTTCGGAAGATCTATGAAAATCGAGAAACACGGGAAGGTTTCTCTGCTCCTTCTTCCTCCCCGCCCCCCAGCCCAGCCTCTCTGAGGAGGCCCAGGGGCGGAGTGGTCAGCTGGCTGGCTGAGGCAGGGCCGCTGACACAGCACCCTGAATGTGCTTCTCTTCTGCCCTCCCTCCCCTCACTCCTGCACCCTGGGCTGACAGCTCAGCTCTGGCATCCAAGTCCTGTCACTGGGCCTCCTTTCAGATGAACCCGGACTCAGAAAGCAGTGAAGAGAGGGAGGGGGAAAGCCACGTAGATACTGGAAGGAGAATACTGTAGGCAGACGGAACAGCTAGTGGAAAGGCCCTGAGATATGCGAGAGCCTAGCCAGTTTACTCCTGTCAGGACCCAGCGGACACAAAGAGCCCACCCACACGTTCCACCTCTGGGGTTTAGTGGGAGGGGAGTATCCCACTCTCTGCATCTGCTGCCATCTGGTGGACGCCTGCATAACTGCGTGAGTCCAAAGAAGCACATTCCCTGCCACCAAACCCGGTACCAGAGACACTAGTACCCCCTGTGTGAGGCTGGGGTGGCGTGAGAACCTGAGTCCTGGCTCTGGTCTCCTGGCCACACTTTGAGGAGTAAGGGTGCCTGGACAGAACAGAGGGGCATTTAGAAAGGGCAGCCCAGGATGAAGTCATAGCCCAAGATGAGGTCACAGCCCAGGATGAAGTTACAGGCCAAGATGAGGTCACAGCCTGGGGAGAATTCACAGCCTGGGGTGAGGTCATGGAGTCTGGGATCAGCTTTCTAGGAACAGGAAGGGGAGGAAGTGGGAGTTCTGAATGGAGGAAATCCAGAGCCGAACTACACCACACCTCTCTTCCTTATATGTTTGTGCTTTCAGAGTAAACAGGTATGCACACCTGTGCACATACATGAACTGGGTCTGGTAAAGGCTTCTTGCGCTCAATACACTCAAGGCAAAACTCACTACCATCAAGTCAATTTCCAGTCACAGGGAAGGGACCCTACGGACAGAGCAGAACTGCCCCCCAGGATTTCCCAGCTCAGCTCCTTCACGGGCTGCCACGCTTTCCTGCTGGGGAGTAGAGACTGTTCAAACAGCCACCTTTCGGTTGGCAGCCAACAAAATTTCACTCATGGTACCAACAGCATCAACCTGTCCTTGAATCAAAAGGGAAACAAACTTCCCGTCTTGAGCCAGAAATCAGGGTGAACTTTAGTCTCCTGTTGGGATTGTTATTTTTTTTTTTTACATTATTTAAAACGGAAATATACCCATGAACAAAGGAATGGCTAGAGAAGATGTGGTTTATTCACACAATGAAATACTACGTAGCACTGAAAAACAAGGAATTCATAAAATATTATACAAAACGGGTGATCCTGGAGGACATTATGCTCAGTGAAATACCTCAGTCACAAGAGAACAAATACTGCATAATGCCAGTGTTGTAAGACAGGACTTATATGAGGATTAGGGGAAAAGAAAACTAAGAAAAGAGGGGATAAATAATGAATACTGCACTGAAACAGATGAGGGGAAAAAACTGTTTAAAGGAATTTATGATTAAGCATTATTTCCATGACAACAGTCCAGAATAAGAGGTACACAGCAAAGTGGACTGGTGGCGGAGGGAGGAAACTGTGCAACAATGAAAGAATTTTTTAAAAGAGAAAAGCGGGCTAGGAGGTAGGGAGGAAATGAATGAATGGAAATTCAAGTTTTCTGTAAACTTTTGTTAAAATAACATACACACAAAAATAAAAAAAACACACCCTTAAAACAAAAGTATAAGGTACAAGCCAGAAAAGTTGCTCACAAACTTAACACAGCTGCCCCCCCCCCCAGCTCCCAGGCTGCTAGGCTGAGCCCCTGTGCCACCCACCCAGGGTCCCAGCCCAGCTCCACTGCCTGCTCCCCAACTTTAGATAACAGAACCCGCCTCCAGCCAGATGCTAACCCAGCCCTATTTACCACCCTACAGCCAGTGTGTGCTTCCTGATCCCAGTCAATTCCCCGAGGCCAGCCTGCTGTAATCCAGAGGGGAAAAAAAAAGTTTGTCATGCTAAATAAACACATAATCTCCATGGTGACGGTGGGGTGAAAAGGGAAATGTGAGGGCACCTTCCAGCTAAGAGTAGGCTAAGCAGGGCTGCAGCTGGCCACACAGAGACCCTCAAGCCCAGCTTCCCTTTAAAACACATATGCCCATCAGCCTCCCAGCTCATGTCCAGGGCGGATGACCATGAGCTGTGATTTCTAGGAAGCACAGGGCCCTTTCTGGCACACTCAGGCTCTCCCACTTCAGCCCACATGGGCAGCCTCGTTGTCAGAGAGAGCACTCGAATTTCCCCAGGAAGGGAGCCCTGTACCACCTTGAAGCTGTGAGGGGCCTGGGACCCCAGCTCTGGCTGTTCCTGTGACACCTTCAGGACTGCCACTGTGTCTGCTCATGGCCTTGGTCCATCCCAACTACTGCTGCCAGTGAGACTGCTGCCCTGCCCCAGTGCTGTGTCCACTCAGCTCCACACTTTGAGACAAAGAATGGCATGTGAGGGGAGCTCTGGTGGCCTAGTGGCAAGAAGCTGCACTGCAATCCCAGAGGTGCACGGTTCAAATCCACCAGATGCTCTGCCGGGAAAGGAGGGACAATCTCCTCCTGTACCAGTCAGATCCGATTTGATGGTGTACACACACACACACACACACACACACACACACACTAATAATAATAATAATAAAAAGAATGGCATGTGCTGACCACTTGGATAAAATGGGCATGGACAGGTGAGCCATAGGCCAGAGGCCACGTCCTGGGCTTAGGGGGTGATGGCCCCTCAGAGGCCCTGACACAGAGTTCTGGTTTCTGGTTCTCTTTGGGGTTTGCAGTGGGGGAGGCTCCTGCGGGGCAGGGGTGCAGGGGTCTGTGCAGCAGCTCTGAGTGGCTCTTTCCACGGGAGCAGCTTCTGAAAGGTGAAGGTGGCATCACTTTTCCCCTGCACTAAACTCTGGGCCTAGGACTTCAGAGAACCGTGCAGTTTAGGGGAAGCCAGGTGAAGTGGCACCCCATTTAAAGACCGGGTATGCCTCCAGGGACTGCGGTGAACGAGGGCTTGGGAAGCGTCTGGGTGAGGGGCTATTTCCCCAGCGCACAGCCGTACCTCCTGGGGCTCTGTCTCCGCA